GCTGATGAACCAAACGAGCAACGCGTTGTTTAATGAAGCTTAATTTAATGAAGCGGAATTTCTCTTTAAACTTTCTTGAAAGGAGTGACGAGACTTCTTAGCTGACGTAATATGTAAATTTAAAGAAATGGTGTATAAATTTATAATGCATACAATCTTTGTTTATTATGTTAACATCAGGAATTGCTAAAGTAATTTCGTACGATTAAAAATTCCTTTTTCGACAAAAATAATTAAGTTGAACGCGCTAGTTAAAAGATAGGGGTACAGATTTAAGAACGATCTGTCATAGTTTCCTTGGAAATTTTCCACTGACCTTTGCTTTCTGCGTTTGTCGCACAGATCACGAGAAGGAAGGATATGATAAGCTGTGGCCGATGAAGAAGAGAGCACGAGCACGAGTAAGAGCAGGAGTACGAGCAAGAGCAAGCGGCTTCGTCGAAGAAGTCGAAACGAAGCGACGACGAGGCGGCGGCAGCAATACCGATAAAAAGATCAACACTAGATCTGATGTTAGCGGACATTAACGGTAACTTGGCGGATCTGAGAAGCGAAGCGATGGCGTCGCAGAGGTTTTGTCTGCGCTGGAATAATCATCAAAGTAACCTACTCTCCGTTTTCGACCAACTGCTCCATGACGAGTCGTTCGTCGACGTTACGCTGGCCGTTGAGGGTCAGTTGCTCAGGGCACATAAAATGGTGCTGTCGGCGTGTAGCCCCTACTTTCAGGTAAGAGCCAACCCTAACCGCTAAACTCCCACCGGCTCCAGCTAGAGAACGAGTCGATGAATCGCATTCTAGGACATTTATTAATAATTCATAACGAACGGATTAATTCACGTGACGCGTGTATCAATAATTCATCGGAGGGGGTTCGGTTTACAGACCGTCGAACCTAAGCCAACGATCAACCGTTTTTCTTTACCGATGTGTTCGCAGGCCCTTTTCGTCGGCCACCCCGACAAGCACCCAATAGTCATACTGAAGGACGTCCCCTACGTGGACATGCGCAGTCTCCTGGATTTCATGTACCGCGGCGAGGTCAGTGTTGACCAGGACAGGCTGACCGCCTTCCTGAGAGTCGCTGAGTCCCTCAGGATAAAGGGCCTGACCGAGGTGAATGAAGACAAGTGCGACCTGCCTAGCATCACGTCGTCATTGCTCGGTAACCAGAACACGGTACCACCGCCACCACCGAGCCTCCACAGAATAAACCAAATCGGGCCTCACCACCACGTCTCGCAGAAGAGGATGCACCATATGTCCAGCCATCCGCTTCTAGGCTCGGCCTTGTCCGCGCCGAAGAGGAAACGGGGCAGGCCGAGGAAGCTGAGCGGCTCGTCCGACACGCCGATCGGCGAAATCACCGGCCAGGAGTTGCAATCCTGCTCGGGGGCCGATCTTGTCCAGGGCTCGCCGGAAATGATGGAGATGAAGATGAGTATCGACTTTCAGAGCGGCGAGAGTGGTGGGAACGCAGGCCGGAGCGGAAACGCCGGCAACGCGTCGGCGAGTAGCAACAACGTGAGCAGCAATAACGTCGGTAACTCGGCGTCGGCGGCGACCAGCCTGGCCGCGGCCTCTTTATCGTCGTCGAGGAAGGACGAGCCAACGGAGAACGGTACTGACACGCCCGAGTCGCTGACGCCACGCGTGAAACGGGAACCCGAACCAACGCCTAGCACCTCTGCCCAAGGTAAAGATTCAGCCGTGTCTATTTTCCTTCTCCCTCTTTTTTCTTTTATTCAATCCTTTTAAAGATTGTTTTGAATGTCGATAGTCGAACGGTCGATGATTTAACCGGTTACGATTTGTACTTCAGCCTCTGACGAGACGTTCGCGCGGCCGCACAGTAGACAAGGGAGCGAAGGTTTCAAGCAAGGTAAGAAACACCACTCCAATCGGCTTTAATCAGATTAATGGTTTGCGCCACCTTTTTAATCATTGTTTCTAACCGCGTAATTTCTCTGATCTATATTAGCTTGAGAAAATTTTAACGTCTCATTCTTGTCAGTGACAATAATAATCAGCGGAAATTCGACGTTTGCAAGTTCAGAAACGCGAACAGATATGGACTAACCAGGATAACGGCAGATCTCCTCTTGCCGAGTAAACTGTATTTTTTTTTCCTTTTGGAATTTATATTTTTGTATGTTAGACTAGCGTTGGTATCTGTGTCACGTAATTTCATACGAATTCTAGTTTGTTCAGTGAATAAATTCACGGTAAATGATAACGTATTAAATGGATAACATACCGGAAAATTAAGCAATTTTCTCTGATACAAGTTCGATTTGGATTTTTGTATAACCGCCTGATGATATATTCAGTATGTGCTCGTACGTAATACCGTGAAATGTTATTTAATGTATAATTATTGTCCAGTATTCAAATGACAGTTTAGTGCTTATATATCCTAATTGAATATTAAGTCTTGAAAGTTGATACGCATTAGAAATGTGACAGCAATGAACGGGGAGAAGCTGTGCACTCGTTTATTTGGAATATGCATTAAGTTGTATAATCTACTTTACATGTTATTAGCATCGCACATACCAGTCCTCTTCTAACCTATGTATATCAGTCAAATAAATTAAACGCCACGTGGTGACATATACATATTTAAATGAGGTAAATGAAGAATGAAATTTCTTTAAGCGCGATCATTTTCGTATGGCTTTATGCTATGTTATCTACATATTTAATACATTATTATATCCTTTCCGAACTAACTTTGTGCAAAATGTGGAACACATTTGTGATCATGTGTAATAATCGTGATTATATTTAAATATAAATTAAGAACGATGATTTCGAACGATGAACATTCGAATAACGTAAGCGGAACTGAATATCAGATATGTATTTTTGCATGATCAAGAATTTCCTCCTGCAAAATTTCACTATTACATCGTGCTATTGCTAATTTCAACTATTGGTAGATTTGTGTCAAATATCTTTGTACGATTCGTCGAGGTCGATCGACGGTGGTAGTTGCAATTGAATATATACATATATATATATATACACTCGGTTTATACAAGTCCTCCTTAAGCGATGTCTTTTAGACACTTAACAACCAATCTATCACTTGTTCCATCCGAAATGTTCTAATAAAACATACTTCAAACGTTTAACGAAAAATCGATACAACAACAACAACAACAACAACAACAAAACCCAATCGAATTGTTTTTGTTACGATGTGCTAATGAATTTAATTTTTCAGAAATTGTCGTCCGTTAATTTTACCGTTGTTCGGCGTTGCGCGACTGCGAAACGAATTACGCGCGGAACGCAGTATCGCGGCAACACACGTTTCCGGGGAG